ACGGATCCTGCCCCTTCCTCCCTGCTCACCAGCAAGTCTTTTCCCTCCACGTTTAATTTATCCCCTAAACATCTCTCCCAGGGACAACCGGAGGAGCAACAGCCAAAAGGCTTGTGCCAAGCGGGAGCACGTTAGGCCGAGAAGGGCTTTAACGCGTCTCCACCGCATTCCAGGAGACGGAAACGAAGCGGCGCTTTCCTATCTGGAGCAAACGGCAGCAGCCCGGTCACACGAGGAGCAGGAACACCACATTGCAGCCCTGCCGGGGAAACGAACCCGGACACGGCACCGGCACAGCCGCACTGCCCGCGCGAGCCGGAGGAAGCGCAATTCCTCTTTCCTGGCCTTAAAAGGAGAGGAAGGGCGGCTTTCACAGTGCAATATTCTTATTTATTTATTTTTCTCCGTCTCAGGAGGACTCGTAGCACAGCCCCGGGCTGCAGTGTCAGCCCTGCGGACAACCTTCACCCCGGTCACTTGGGATGGCCAGGAACGTTTTTGTATCTTAGTGTAGCAATGATAATATAATAAGAAAAAGGGCAAGATAGGAATCAACAGAACTGACAATGCATCGAGAACAAAACCCACAACTTTCCTTCCTGCCTGGTCTTTCCTCTCCTCCAGGCCATTCGGATTACAGGGCTGGGTGGGGACAGGGACCTTGCAGGAGGGCACAGGCGCCGTCGTGACTCGTGTCCGCTATCGCTGTGGCCGTCGGGGACCTTGAACAAAACCCTCCCCCTCGATCCCGCAGCCGACCCGCAGCAGGAGCGCTGTGGATGGGTTCCCTGAGGGATGCTCCCACGCTGACCTGCCGGCCTCCTCATCCCCGGGCCCCAGCACAGGCTGATAACCGTGTTTCACCAATCTTAACTGCTCGTGGCCAAGGGTTCCCGTGCGCTCAGAAAGCACCGAGGCCCCGTGCGCGCTCCGGCACGCACCTCTGCCCGGCACACGCAGGCTGGACCGGGAAACCGCGGCTCGGGAGCCGGCCCTGCCACAGGGATTAAGCGCCGCGGCTCCTCTGCGCTCCGACCTGCTTTCTGCAAACCTAATCACGTCAGAGGGCAAGGAGAAGACAAATCTCCCCGGCACAGCTAACCCTATTACGCCGAGACACCGGGCTGTGCCCGGGAGGCAAATAAAATAGAAACGCGCGTCTGTGCTGTCACAAAAATCAACCAGGAGGGTCTGTAATCTTTCTTGCCTGCTCTGTTCTTAACGCTGGGTCCCGGCCAGGCGAGTTCCCCCGCGGGAAGCTGCCGCAGCCAGGAAGGAGC